GTAGTAGTAGTAGTAGTAGTAGTAGTAGTAGTAGTAGTAGTAGTAGTGGTAGTAGTAGTAGTAGTAGTAGTAATAGTAGTGGTAGTGGTAGTGGTAGTGGTAGTGGTAGCAGCTGCAGCAGCAGCAGGTTATCTAACTTCCACAGCTCATCTAGCTTCTGAGTCACTGCCACCAGCTGTTCAGAAAGCAAATGAACATTCATACAAAAGTACAATTTAATCTTTCGCCAGATCTTTCGCCAAAAAAAGTTTACTTTCGCCAACTCGAGAAAAAACTTTCGCCAAATGAGATTTTGATATGTTCCGGGTCATCGTCATACACACTGCTGACTAGGACCTTTAGATCGACAACCATATATATTATAGATATATATATATATATATTCGGCTGCATCAGTTACACTTGACTTGAGATAAGACGAATCAGATTCGGACTGAATTCTTTTTCGCACAAGCTTGAGAGTCTTTGTTCAAAAGTGCTTTGGTTAATGTGACCCTGTCACAGCAGCCCACGCTGCGTGCACCCCTGGTGCATACCTCTGCCAGGTATTCGTTCCCTTACCCGTACCTGGTAGACTCCTTAAAATAGTCAAGAGGATACTGAACATCAGTCCTATGACTATGTTGGAGTAGGGCTCAAAAAGTAAACGGTGCAGTAACCTAAGAGTTGACACTCTTACACTGCAAATACAGTGACTTCCAATTGCTCCGCAATGTCACTGGAAAAATGGTACCTGGACTCATGACCGAAGTATTTTGCCTGGCCGACTGCTGCAAATGTTGTGGCTATTCCGCCGACAGCAGCCACTAAAATAGTCAAATCGGTGACGAGAAGACAAAATGGACACCATGGTAACCCGCAGACAGCACCAGTCCATGAGCTCATTGCCAGAGCATTTGGCCAGGCCGACAGCTGCAATTCATCTGGCTTGTGGCAGACTGCGCCAGGGTGACAATCAGTCACATCAAACAGAAAAATAATGAACCGCATCCGTGGTACTCAGCTGGCAGCGACCACGCGGTGCCACGGGACTTCAAAAAAAAATTATGGACATGGAGCCATTATGGATAGTCAAAAATTGTAACTAAAAAAAAGAATGGACATGGGCACAGTGGTATCCTGCAGACAGCACCACTCCATTTGCTCATTGCCAGAGCATTTAGCCAAGCCGACAGCTGCAAAGTATCTGGCTTCCGGCAGACCGCGGCCAGGAGGATCAGACATCAAAGTGCAACGGAAAATTTGGTGGACCTGAACTGTGGTACTCAGCAGGCAGCTACCACTCAAGGCTTGAAATTCACTGGATTGGAATCATGCTGATCATCATTGGAGCAAACGTGACATATAAAAATATGCAGTAACCCAAGAGGTCCAACTCTTGTACTGCCAACGCAGTGACCTACAATTGCCCCGCAATGTCACTGACGAGAGTGGGATCTGGACTCATGACTGGAGTATTTAGCCAGGCCGACAGCTGCAAGTGCTATGGCCTCTTGCAGACAGCAGCCAATATGAAAATCAAATTGGTAACTAAAAATTGAAGAATGGACACCATGGTATCCAGCAGACAGCACCAGTCCATTTGCTCATTGCCAGAGCATTTAG